ATACGGAGATGAAGCCAAGGAAGAGGCTGCTTAACCGTTGCCATCTGACTCTACTGGAGGCTGGGGAGAGAAGGGGGCTTGTCATGATCCTCTGTCCTTGTCCTCCCCCGCTTCTGACCATCACTTTCTGCCACTGCCCCAGCTCTGTTATGGCACAGCCCACCCCAAGGATGGGCTTCCCCAGGTCCTTGCCCTGAGAGTACCTGCAGCAGCAGCTCCCTCAGCCGGTGCAGCTGGGACTCCAGCTGCTTGTTGTGGTCCTCTAGGATCTGCATGCGGGTCTCCAGGCGGCTCTTGTGCTGCCGAAGGATTCGTGCTTCTGCCAGGAGCTCATCATTATGTGGGTCTTGCACTGATTCAGGGGAGCCTGTAGCCAAGGTTGGAGACTCCACCGCCTCATCATGCTGCCATTTCAAACGTCTCAGCTCTCCCTGGAGGATCCTGCAAGATAGCTTAGGTCAGCATCACCACCCTTTCTAGAGACTGCTGGAAACACCCGACCACTGTGCACTGGGGACGGCCCATGACTTAGAGACAAAACATCCCTGGAGGCTTTGCCACATGTGAAGCTTGAGGCCCAGCATGCTCCTGGACTTTGGCCCTGCACTGCAGGGTGGCCTGCCTGCAGCTCTTCCCCACTTGGGTGGTTTACAAAAAGACATGTAACTGCTTCCTAAGAGGCCGAGAACAAGGGCAGGGAAAGCATAACCTCCTCCTGAGCCAAGCTGCCCTGCCCAATGCCTCACCTCCTGTAGTCCAGAGCAGCACCACCACTGTTTGTGAGGGGCTCAGTGACAAGAAAGACAGCAGTGCCCTGGGCTCACTTCAACCAGTTTGGGGTTCAGGAGGGGAACAGGTTCTGGGGATGGGAGCAGGAACATTTTGGGGAACAGAGTCTTCTCCCTTCCTTGGAGAGCACACCCTCACCGCGTGCTCCCATGAAGGTTTTAGGGCTCAGCCTAGACTCCCTCCAAACCAGCCCACTCAGGTCTCTGAGCTCTGTGCTCTGCCAGGCTTCTCCAGCCCCTTCCTCTTAGGCTATAAACCCCACTTTCAGAGTTGCCCATGCCCCTACCTGTTTTCATCTTCTAAGTGGGCCAGGATTCGCTCCAGCTCTCCCTTGTCATCCATGTTGAGGCTTGCCGGAACCTGCTGGCTGCCCCCAGGCTCTCTGTCAGTGATGGGGCTGGAATGGCGCAGCAGGTACTGGTCCTCATCCCTGTTGCAGCAGGTGGAGAAACACCTTAGTGAGGAACATCAGTCTCAAGTGATTTGTGTGCCCTTGGGGAAGGACAGCCTGGAAGGAGGTGGTTTCATATGGGAGCTCGTTCTGGCTGCTCCAGGTCTAGAGCTCAGAAGTAGCTCAGCACCCCTGGGTAGCTGGGGATGCCCAAGAGCCCCAGACTCAAAGGAACTGGGAAGGAAAGCATTTCTGTGCCCTGGCCAGGCAGGGATGGAGCCACAGGAGCCCTGGCTCAGCAGGAGGTGAGGAGGAGGGAAAGGAGGCAGAACTCACAGGCTATCATCAGGGGACAGGCTGTCATTGAAGAAGGAACAGTTCTGGCTTTCCATCTCTGCAAGTCTGGAGGAAAGAGAAACAGGTTGGGATATGGTCAGAGACACCCTAAATATCTGCTCAATGCACCCTTCGTATGGCAGCCCCTGCAAGACCGCTCTCTGGCAGGGTCTCCCAGCTGGCCTGCACCAGTCTGCCCCTCTTTACAGGCTCTATAGAGTTTTGCCTTTTTGGAAAA